TGATCATGCTAATGATGATGATTATTATTATTACTATCATCAAAATTATTACAACGCACATTAAAAACTGATGATGTCTTGCTTAAAACATTCAGCCTAGGCTTTATGACTAAGGCTGAAACTACAAGGCACAATGACAGATTGATTTTTATCCAGTATAACCAAGTCCGCTATAAAGCATGATAGGTATGCTCGATGGACGGATTGAAAAATGACCCTAAAAGGTACGCATAAATTAATTCACGTATCGATTCCAGACCATAAAAGGTACGAGCATTTTTGACGTGAAAAGACAAGTGAAAAGCTCAAGTTTAACAAACTGTAGAAAATCAATGTCGATAGATTGTTGAGGTTAATAAAATCTATTTCTTTATTAACACTTCTTCAATAGTTTTTTGAGAAGAACTTCTTTAAGTGTATTTATTACATTTTTGCTACCTTTTTGTTACTTTTTTTGCTACAAAAGAACAAAGGTTTTTTCGCATTAAAGATAACCTGCTTCACGTAAGGACAAATACGGAAGTTCTAGGAAATTTGGTCGTAATGACACGGCTAAAGTTCTGGGGTTGGGATACCTGTGCGTTTAGGACACAGGCACACCAGCACATCATATAAACGGGCTGAAGAAAGAGGAAGTGGTCGTCGTACAAGGTAAGTCATGTAAGTGTAATAGCTTTTATTAAGCTTGTTGATATGGGAAATGACGGGTAGTACAAAGTGCTGGGAAGTGAAGATTGTTGTTGTGGAAATACAGTTTCCCAAAACAGATCATTAAATCACCTGTTTAGGCCACAATAAGTATTACCCGGAAATAGAGTACAGACCTCAGCAGTCATAAAGGCGGTTTACACGGTATTTACTTAGTATACTATGCAATCAGGATTTTCAGCATTTACAAAACGCGATTTAGAGCTTATTTTGGTCGTATACAACAAGATACTACAACCACGTATACAGTCGTACCGTGTATCCGCTCTTGAAATTTATGGAGTTAAAAAGGTGTTACTGTGATCTTTCATCAATTTTAAGTCTTAAAAGAGTTAATAGAAGGTCTTCAGTGATCTTAAAGAGTTTACAACTGTTTACTGGGTTATAAGGACCGACTATCACATGACTTTAATAGCATAACTGAATGTACAAGGA